GCTGCACGTAGCCTATATCTTGTCTTGCACACCCTCATGCATTTTACCTCTTGTGTTTGATTAAATAAGAGGTAAGAATGGGGGAACAGGGCCCTGTGGAGAGCCAGGTGCACAATTATTAACCTCTCTGTTGGATAGATGTCTATTTCACCACAGGCCTGCTGTGAAGAGCCAGCCAAGGTGGGCATCCAGACAAAGAATGGGCCAGAAGGAGAAAGAGGAACATTATCCTTGTGGCTGTAACACCCCTCTTTAGACACACACACAGCATAAACACATGAGCAGCACCTGATAAAACGTCCTTCACACTTTTACTGCTATTCTTCACAAGAGTCTGTCAGGGTTTGTCAAAGTAAGTAGAGAAGCTGGCATCAGATAGCATTCGATATGTGCCAAGTCTAATTTAAATAAAGGCATATAACAACTACACTCTTAAAAATAAAGGTGCTTCAAAAGGTTCTTCACAGTGATGCCATATAAGAACCATTTTTGGTTCCACAAAGAACCATTCAGTCAAAGGTTCTTTAAAGAACCATATCTTTCTTACCTTTTTATAATCTGAAGAACCTTTTTTCACCACAAATAACCTTTTGTGAAACAGAAAGGTTCTTCAGATCTTAAAGGTTCTTTATGGAACCATTTAGACAAAAAGGTTATTCTATGGCATCGTGAAGCACCTTTATTTTTAAGAGTGTAGCTAGTATGGATTTGCTTAAATATGCCGTGGATTTCATGAAATATGAATTCGGAGAGGACTTTCACGTTTTGTCTTCCTGAGCTGAGGAGTCAAAAGGTTCTATTGGTCCTCTTCTTCACACTTCTTATCAACATCCTAAGCCAACTCTTCAGACGTCGCTATAATTACTCTTGTGGGCTATACATTGGAAAACCATGTCCCTTCACAAAAGTCACTCAAACTAAACTTCTTGTCTCCTTTTAATTAGGCTATTAATATGCAGTTAGCTCATAAAGGCCACGGCAAAAGGTATAAATGACATAATTGAGCGGGCCACATCCGTGAGTTCAGGCTGGCACAATTTTTTTTCATTCAACATAAGGAAATGGGATAAAAAAAATGCAATGCATAAAACTGTGGCTCCTTTCAATCTAGCTGACAAAAAATAAAATAAAAATCTAATGCCACCCTGAAAATGAATTGGGAGAGAACCTTAAGAAATGCTGATTGTGATTGACACAGAAGGTGATTTAAACTGATTTCATATAGACATGTTAAGAAAGAGGAATTGTGAAACTGCTGAGCCACATTTAATGAGAAGCTTCAATCATCATACTGTGGCTCCTTCTGGATCTTCAGTGTTGTGAGAAATAAATTTCACCTGAGATGTTTGCTGTTGAATCCTGCTCAGACGCAGAGATTTAGTATTTTCTCAGAGATAATATATCAATAAAACATATGACTCTTTGACCCTAAACTCAGAGATGGTTTTTAACCCTTATATTCAGTTTGGTTCTTAGAGACCCTAAGGCCTTTTAACAGTTTAAAAACATACTAAACATTTTAGCAACACATTCATTCTTCATGACTTTTGCTGATCTTATGCTAACTGATTATAGATCAATTTCCACTTGATCAAACATTCTCCATGGAAATGCTGAATTATGCTTTAAAACATGAATACATGCAATTTATTTTCACATGCAAACAGATGACTTGAAGTTTTTTTTTATTATTATTAAACCAGTGTAAGGACTTGAGGACTAGTGTGATATCCTCAGATTTTCTGGTCAGAATCCTGGCAGCAGCGTTCTGGATGAGCTGCAGCT